GCCCCGGTTCGGATCCCACATATGAGGGCCAGTGACACTGCCCTCTACAGCTAAGATGCTGAACAACAGCTCAACCTGGAGCTGGGCTGCCGTGAGGCGATGGCGACAGTGTAGGCTGCAGCTCCTGCTGCAGTAGGTTGCCATGGGCTACCGTGTGTAGCCAGCAGCCAGCATGAGCGGCCGTCCAGAAGCCGGTGACTGATCTGCCTCGCCAGGGAAGAGCGCAATGATGGTGCCAACTTGGGCCAGTGAAGCAACGTCCTCCACAACTAGACTGAATAACAAAAGGACAGCAACTTGTTTGTTCCCCTTCCCCCAATTCCCCAATTAAAAAAAAAAAAAGTGGAAGCCCAGTCTGGTATTTCTGGGGTGTTTCATAAAAAGGAAAGGGTGTACTTGCACTTTCTAGTTCACATGTAAGAAGCTTAGAAGTTACCACTCAGTCCTAAAGACAAGTAAAAAGCTGAACAGGCAACTCTTGGATTTGTAAGTGAGGGGAGGACAGAGGACAAACCACTGCTCCCAAAACCGGAGACAGGCTGGCAAATACAGGAAGTGTGGCTTACTAGAGGAGAGACTCATAAGTAGAAACCACTGTAGGAACCAGTGGTGGGTAGGAAACCCTAAACTGCAACTAACAAATTGCTGGAGATTTGGCTGGATAAGTCTGAGAGTTAAAAACTCTAGGGAGACTCAGTCATAGGAAGGCCGCCACACTTCTGTGAGTTTTACCTCTGGAAGTTCTACCAGGTTCCCACAGTAAATGCTAGAGAAAAATCCTCTGGCTTCTGGCAAGGGGGAGGGGCAAAGGAACCATTTTGAGATATGCTAGAGCTCTGTGTTCTTAATTAGGCCTGCCCTTGGGAGAAACTAGTTACCAGAGCCTAACCTGCTGGGCTATTATCAGTGCCTAACCTCACTGGAAAGGGAAATGTCCAACTCCAGCCCACTCTAGCCATCCTGTCCCAGCTACACGAAAAAAAAAAAAAAAACTGAAAAACACTTGTGAAGTTCACAGTCCAGAGGCACAGGCTCACTAAAAGACTGAGCCCTAATCATAGGACTACAGAAAGCTTCCCCTCCCCCACATCTCACCACCACATCACTAAAGTCCTTTTTACTGCAGTTCCTTTTACCCAATACATCATGTCCAGCTATCAAGAAAATATTATGAGGCATAATAGAAGGTAAAAATCACAGAAATAAAGAATGCCTTTGATGTGCTATTAGTAGACTGAACACAGCTAAAGGAAACATCTTTAAGTTAAAGTATCTATCAATAGAATCCTCAAAACCAAAAAGCGGGGAAAACAAAGACTGAAAAAAAAAAAATCGAACAGAATAACCAAGGACTGTAGGACAACTGCAAAAGGTATAACATATGTGTAATGGGAATACCAGAATGAAAGAGAAAGGAACAGAAGAAATACTTGAAACAATAGTGACTAAGAATTTCCCAAAATTATTGTCAGACACCAAAACACAGGGGAAAAAACCCCAAAAAACCAACAAACAAACCCAACCGATCAACCAACCAAATAGACAAACCAAAAAACAAAAACAATACTACACCTAGCCAAAAACAACAATAACAACAAAAACCACCTTACCTATAGAGGACCAAAGATAATAATTACATTTGACTTTTCCTCAGAAACCTCAAGCAAGAGGGTGGAATGAAATATTTAAACTGTTGAGAGAAAAAAAACACCAACCTCAAATTATGTACCCTGCAAAATTATCGTTCAAAAGTGAAGAATAAGGACTTTCTCTGATAAAAATTGAGAAAATTTGTTGCCAGTATACTTACTTTGCAAGAAATGTTAAAAAAAAAGTTTTTAGAGAGACGGAAAATAATATATCTCAGAACTCAGCTCTACAAAAAGACAGGAAGAACATTGAAGAAATAAGTGGAGGTAAAATAAAAACTTTTTCTTATTCTTAATTGATTTAATAGATAAGTTTATTTAAATAATAATGGCAACAATGTACTAAACTATCAATACATATGTTTATGTGTACGAGTATATCTTATGTGTGTGTATATATGCTTATGTATGCTTATATATGCATATAAGTGAAATGAATAACAGCAATGATACAAGGGACAGGAAGAAGGAATTAGTATTATAGTATTTTGTTATCATACTCACAGTACCCTTGAAGTGATATAGTGTTATTTGAAAGTGGACTTGGATTACCTGTAAAGATATATTGCAAACTCTGGGAAACCACTAAAAAAATGTAGGAAAATAAGTATGATGTATATGCTAAGAAAGGACAGAAAATGGAATGATATAAAATGCTCAATTAAAACCTCAAAAGACAGAAAAAGACTGGATAACAAAAATAGGAACAAAGAACAAGGGCAACAAATAGAAAAGAGTAATTAATATTGTAGATATAAGTCTAACTACATAATAACTTTGAATGTCAATGATCTAAATGCACCAATTAAAAGACAAGAGACTCAGAGTGAATAAAAAAACATAACCCAACTATATGTTGTGTACATGAAACCCATATTAAATATAAAGCCACATATAGATTAAAAGTAAATGGATGGAGACAAAATACCATGCTAACACTAATCAAAAGAAAGCAGGAGTAGCTATATTAACTTCAGACAGAGCAGACTTCAAAGTAAGGAAAGTTATCAGGGGCAAAGAAAGGCATTGCATAATGATAAAGGGGTCAATTCTCCAAGACACAATTCTTAAAGTGTATGCGCCTAATAACAGTGTCAAACTACGTGAGGCAAAAACTAATAGAACTGCATGGAGAAACAGATAAATTCACTATCATGGTTGGAGACTTTAACACCACTCTATCAGAAATGGGCAAATCCTGCACATAGAAAGTCAAGAAAATCAGAAAGCAACTACAGGATACCACACACCCAGCTTAAAACCATTACACAAAACACCAACAAAAGCAAAACACATGCATAAGGTTAGTTTCTCTGTAAGGCCATAGACCAAAATGATAGCAGTGGTTACCTCTGAGGAGGGAACTGAGACTATGGGAATGGAGAGTAGGAGGGCTCACAGGGCTTTATTGTATTGCTTGAATCTTTTATATGAGAATATATTCATGTTTTATTTATATTATTAAAAGGGTAGTGGATAGGGAACAGGTGAATTTGTGAGGAGGCACAGGAGAAACTAAAAAATTTTTCTGTGCTGTATACTGACAGGGTTAGATCACCTTGCAAAAAACCCTTTTCCAATCTATTAACACACATCTCTCTTCAAGCTCCTCATTAATATGTAATTCATTCTTCCCTGTTACTCATATTAATCGTTTTAAATTAAAAGACCTATATGTTCATAGGTTATTAAGTATGCAATGACATTAAGTATGCTTTCTAAATGAGGAATGGAATAACCCATCTCATATTTAAGGAGAGACATTATGTTAAAACTTTTTCTCTCTGTGGGATGAAGAAGAATGAAAAGATCCAGCAAACTTACGTGTAAATGCAGAGGTTAAAGTTCAATGGGACCTTAAGAAAAATGGAGGCTCATCTTCAGTTATAGTGAACTGATATAGAACTGCCTGATGAATATCTTCAGATATTGGTTTACTTGCTGAACAAACATGTATTAAACACCTACTATGTATCAGGGGCTATTGTAGTCCATATATAAGATGCATGCTAAATACCCCTTGTACTCAAGAAACTCATTAGTCTAATCTGGTCGTGGTGGTAACATATATAAACAAACAATTACAGAGCTATACTAACAGTAGGGAAAAACCATAAGATCTTGTTACTCAGAGTTAAACACCAGCAGCATTTGGATCACCTGGGGGCATCTGAGACCCCAGCTCTAAACCCCTGAATCTATATTTTAACAAGATCTTCAGGTGATCTGGATGTTTATCAAGATTTGAGAAGTTATGAACTGTGGGATTACAGAAGGCACACTATTATTGGTCCTTAGAGGTCTTTAGGCTTGAGGGTTATAGGAACATTCCAGGCTGAGAAAGGAACAGACCCATTATTATGGCAGTTGAAAAGAGTAAGAGTTCTGTAAGAAAATTAGGCACTTTGGAAAATGTGGGAGACAGCACAGAAAAGGTAGACTGAAACCAGAGGCAAAAAGGCGAGACTGACTTCCTTAGAATTCTGGAAGAAGCCATCAGAAAGTTTTCAGCGGCAACGTGACAGGATCAGATTGTTATGTTTGGGCATAACTCTGGTGGCAGGGAGGAGAATGAAATGCAGAAGAGAGGCTGGAGCAGGCAGAATGTGTCCTTTAATGAGAAGGAATCCATTTTGGACTAGAACGGAAGTCTAGAGGATTTAGAGGTGGAGGCAGGCATTGAGTCCCACGCAGACAGAGAAACAAAGGGTTCCAGCTGCAGATGGACACAGGAGGGTTCTTTCTTCTGGAAGTTAGTGCCCAATCAGCAGCATTAAGATCATCTGGGAATTGTTGGAAATGCAAATTCTCTAGTCTTACCCCAGATATATTGTGTCTAAAACTTTGGGGGGTGGGCACACAAATCTAACTTCAAACAAGTTCTCTTTAAGAACCACTGCTCTAGCCTGCCAAAAATCTTGTAGCAGGTTGTAAAGGCTTGCAGCTGCCACAACCTGCTCCCTTTCTTAAAAAGAAACAACAAAAATGACAAGAGAAATGACTTTCTAGGTTGAATGGTCATAACAAAAGCCACATACAGCCTAGATTTTAGATAGTGCCCAGAAAAAAGCAAAATACACACTGACCATCATGTCCAAAAGCCCCACAAAAGCAACCCTCAGGAAAGACATTGGGATTCCTTCAGGCCCTCTGAAAATTGTGTTTCTGATGCAACCGACCATTAAAAAAAAAAATCCCAAATTTAAAACCCAGAAAAACGGAGCAGCGGGGTTGGCGCCATCATCCTAAAACAAGTCAGGCCATTTCCCAGCCACACCCCTCCGGACCGCCAGGCCTACTTCCCTCGGCAGTTCCCAAAGATAAATAAATCACTCCTTGTTTTTTCCAGACCTGAAATTAGCGGTGACTCACAGAGCACTCTAAACGGCCACTGTCGCCTCGGGAAGGAGGAAAAATGTGCAGATTTTTCCCCTTAGGCAAAGGCCTGACGTGCCGGGCTGGGCCAATCAGGGGAGGATGGCGGGAATCGCACCAAAGTAGGTAAAATATGCGGGCTGCATCCCCTCGGCCGCAGCCCGCGCCTCTGCAACCGCGCTCCCTCCTCGCGTCACCCCTCTGCGGCCCCGCCCACCGTCTCTTTCCCTCCCTCCTCCCTCCTCTTCCCAGGCCCTGCCCCCAGCGGCAGCGCACACCTGGCCAGGTGGCTACTTCCATGTAAGGGCAACGGCTTCGCAGTGGGTGGGGCGCCGGCGGCCCCGCCCGAGGGGGAAGTGAGCAGGGCCACCCGCCCCGCATCATCCTGTGCCCGCTCCTCGACTGCCGGAGCCACAGCACGCTCCGCCTCCTCCTCCCTCTCAGGTGAGGGAGGACCCACTCCCACCCTCATTGTATCCGAGCTGGTGAGAGGGACCCGGTCCCCCAGTGTCCAGAAGGTGGGAAAGACGCCCCCGTCCCTCCCGGAGTCCGGAGGGCCTCCGGGGCGGGGCGTTACTAGGCCAAAGGTTGCATAGCAACGGAGGGCCGCGCGTGACGTGCGCCGCGGTGTTTGGGCCCGAGGCGCGCGCCCGCCCGCCCGTTCCCTCGTAGGCTCGCGCCCCGCGTCGCCTCCTGGTTCGGTCGTCTGGTCCCGCTTCTGTGAGGCGGACACTCAGCAGACTCGGTGCCTGCCGGCTCCCTCCCCCGCGTCCCTGCTGTTGCCGCGGCGAAGATGGTGAGTGGGAGCGAGCAAGAGGGGTGAGCTTACGCGGCGGGGCTCTAGGGCGCCGCAGGGGTCGGGTTGAGAGGCTAGTGCCGCCACCCGGCCCCTGAGAGCCCCAGGCCCCGTTGCAGTCTCCCGGCGGGATAGAGTCTAGGGCGTCTGCGGCCCGCAGACCCTCTGGGCCCCCGCGTCCCGGGGCGGCTCCCCGGCCGCCTCGTTGGTCCAAGCGGCTGCGAGGCCGCCACCCCGGAGCGTCGCCTCCGCGGTTTCTCTCGCCCAGGCCTTGGTACCACCAGCCGAGGTCGAGCCCCCGCGACCCCCGCGGTGAAATCGGTAGGCGTGGAGTCCGCCAACCCTGGTAGGGGACATCGGAATCCGGAGCGGGCCTTGTTGGGGCACGTTTCCCCAAAGCCTGGCACACAGGCGGCCAGTGACTCGTGCCAGTTTCAGCCCGTGAGGTCTGTTCATCTCGATAAGGAAAATAAGGCCTTTATTGAACAACCCTAGAGGGCAGAATGATCACTACTAGCATGACCCTGGCATGATTAAGAACGGGTGGCCTTGCAGCCTCTTTGTTTGTCGTATCTGACAATCAGCTTCCAGTAGCCCTCTCGTCGGGCTTGTCAAGCTTGGCAGTGCCTTTTTTAACCCTCGCCTGACTGATCCCTCCATGTATGGTTAGAAATTTTCTTTTGCTTATAAACAGTTTGGCTCTGCCAGAGCTTAGCATGCAAGGTGTGCGCATGATGCTGGGATGATAAAAAAAAAAATGAAAAAGGTTTTTAAAAGTCCGTTAAATTATCCGAGTCTTTAAAAAGTAAACAGATGCTCACTATATACTAGATGAGGGACACTGCCTAATTTACGTATTTTTCCCTCTACACTGTAATTCCAGTTTGCTGTAAAACACTCTTGTTAACCAGGACGATCAAGTAGAACATTTTGTCATTTTCTTTAGTCTGCACACGCTGTTACCATTTTTGGTCAATGATTTGCAGGCAAAGGCTTACCAGACTGCTAGAAATATTACACTGTTATTTCATCTGTCTGCCTGGAAGCAGTTGGTACCAGCTTATGTGCATACAAAATGTTTTCACTGAATAACAATTTTGATTTTCACAATGTATTGTAACTTTCATGACTATGCAGACTGGCTCATTAATGGAAGAAAAAGAGATTAATCAGTAGTTTCTTGATGCGTGAGGATCTGTAATAAGAATTTGATATTGTTCAGTTTTTAGTTCTTTGATTTAATGTTGTAAGCTACAAAAAGGGTCAGCATTTTAATACTCTTCAACCTCTTTAAGATTTAAATGTGTATAATACTTTATACTAAAAGACTTTTAATCTAAAGGTTTTGAGTTCTCATAAATTTAAGACCATCCACTCTGAGGAAAGTGCTTTGGAGCTTGCTTTAGCGTCTTCTGATTTGACATTCTATTTTTTTTGAGTTGTTAGACTGCAAACTTTTTTTTTCTGTTTGAAAATAGTTCCAAGCATTTTAACTTTAGTTAAAGAGTAGGAAGACTTTTATTTACTGGTACTTGGAGGAGGAAGAGAAATAAAAATTAATCAAGATGGGCGGTTCCAAATACATTACAGACTTGTTGGTCTTAGGGAGGTCAAGAAAACCTTATAAGCTAGTCTTGTTTGGATGCTTGTAAAGAAAGTTCAGGATATAGACTGACCATTTTGAAGATTACTCTTGTATTTAGCCTGATGAGCATAGAGAATTTCCCTTCAGTCCGGCAATTAGAGAATATTGTGAAGATGGAAAGTTCCTTTATTATCCAAGACTTTACCATTTTACCTCTGTTTTTGAAATTGTTTAGATTGTGGGTTAGATGCTTGGTTCAAGTTTTTTTATTTTTTCGGTTAAATTTTAACTGCTGATGGGTTTTGTGCTACATTAACAAAATCACTTCCTGGTACTCACCAAGTCTTCTAGAAGCACTTTGGAATAAAGCAATTTGAAACCAACTCAAAAAGATCACGTTGGACACTTTAAGATGAGATTTCATGTTTTCAAAGTCTCACTTTACAATGCCAATAAAAGATTGGGGGGGGGGGAGCCTACCCTCCACAGAAACCACATCTGCACGTACTCCAAAGAAAACTTTGGTGTAGTGTACTGGGTATGGCAGCTGCCTCATAGAAAAATTGTTTACCAGTGCACCACCAAGTTCCTAAGGTTATCTGCTCAATGATTCTTCTTTTGGGTATGGATTGAGACATAAGTTACCTAGCTCCTCTTGTAACAAATAGTACGAATATGTGCATTTGCAGTATAGCTATATGGCCCCCTGGGAAGTAGGATTGTAGTGTTGCCCCTGAAACAGAGTAAAGGTCTACATGTTAATCTTACCCTTAACCTTACCCTAATCAGAACTCTGCTTTAACAAACTGAACTAATTGGCTCAGGCTGAATTACAAATGTATTCTAACACTTGATGATTAGCAAAAACACACTTTTAGTTATAACAACCTAATAGAATAGATTGGGCATGTATTTTATGTGTCTGTTTAACATCAGAAAACAGACTGTAAATGATTGACTTGTGACCTTTTCTGATTCCTCATCAAGTTTTAAAATAATTTAAAAATCAATATAGAAACATTTTAAGCAGAAAAGTACACAGAATAACAGTTCCTTGTACAAAAAAAAGGTTAACATTTTGCCATATTTCAGGTTTTTTTGTTACCATTACAGCTAAGTATGCATCTTCTTCCTATCCCATTCCTTTCCCTCCCCGTAGATAACCACGCACTCCTGTGTCAAAGACATAATGTACCAGCCAATTAAGGAAATGATTTTTTTCAAGGCTATTGCATTTGGAGGACATCAATTAATGAGGAACGTCTCAAAAAAAAAAAAAAGGACGGGGACCTGGGGCAGGTAAACCAGGGAGTCTTCAGGAAGCACGGGGATGGGTTTTACCTTGCAATGAGCAGGGCAGAATCCTTTTGTTACCTGTTCTCCAGAACACAAAATTATGGGGGTGCATTTCTTAACCGTCACTGCTTTCCAGGAGCACAGGGCTCAGGTGAAATTCAACATAGTCACCTGAAATTAATATATTTTGTTCTTATGATGATTTCCATACTTTTAGCTCTACATATATGCATCTACAGTAATATATACTATATTGCTTTGATGTGTTTTTAAATTTTATATAAATGCTATATTTTGTGTATTCTTTTGCAACTTAAAAATATTAAACTTGGTAAGTTTTTTGGTGGGGGGTGATTTTTAGCTTTAGCTGTGACTCTGTTCCTTATTTTAGCTGCCAAATACTTTCCATTTTATGACTATATAAGTTTATCCATTCTGCTATTGATGGACGTTTGCCCAACTTTTTGCCCTTTTATCTTTTTGTCAACTTAAACTGTTTTGCAATAGATTGTTTCCATTTTTATATATTACTATATATTACTTCTTTAGCCCCAGTGAGTGTCTTCTTGGTGTATATCTACAATAGAAGTCAAAGCCCTGGTTTGGAGGCCATGCATATGAATTTTTTATTCCACTAGTGGTGGTTCTAGTTTGCATTCATCTCATCATCTATACTTAGGAGCCTGTTTCTCCATTACTTTTCACCACTTGGTATTATGAGACTTAAAACCTTTGCCGTCTGATAGGTGTGAAATGGTATGTGAAATGGTTTCTTATTCGTTCAAATTTGCGTTTCTCTGATTAGTGGTAGTTGAGTATCTTTTCATGTTTATTGCATTAGCTTTTGTTTTTACATGCATGTGCATCTGGTGAACATGACATTGTGTAAATACTCATCATGTCTTCATCTAAGCTTATCTGTGGAACCATCAAGTAAATCCACCCTTAAGAGAAAATCACTACAAATGTGATTGTCAATGCCAGAACCTCATACTGAGGACTAATATTCCTCTCCTCTCTGGCACCTAGTTTTTTTGCAGGCTCTCAGCTTGCTAAGTAACGAAAGTTCAATACTCTTCTCTTAATTCTAGACAGCTGCCATTGTCAGGCCCTGGTAGTGATAGATTGCAGTATGACCCAGGATAGAGTTCCATTTTTGTCAAGGGCCATGGAGATTAATAGCCTCTGCTTTATACTTACCCCTTTCTTTCTTTACCTTGACAGTTCATCTAGCCAAAATGTTAAAAACAAACACAGGAGATATATGGGAAACTCTGTACTTTTTGCTCAATTTTGCTGTAAAA